GGCATCAGCCTAGCTCACAGCAACCTCAAACTCCTGAGCTCAAGCTTATTCTCCTGCCTCAGCCTCCCGAGTAGCTGGAATCAGAGGCGCACGCCACCATGCCTGGTTAATTTTTCTCTTTTTATAGAGATGGGGGTCTCACTCTTGCTCAGGCTGATCTCAAACTCCTGAGCTCAAGTGATCCTCCTGCCTCGGCCTCGCAGAGTGCTAGAATTACAGGCGTGAGCCACCATGCCCAGCCACAATTACTTCTTAAAACATCAGTTTCCCTCTCTCCTGATTCATAAATTTCATAAGAATAACATACTTCCTGTAAGGCCTTTTTAACTCCTTACTACAATTTTTTCAGCACCCAGTAGATATCCTCTAAATGCAGAAGACAATCTGTATTCTCCTTAGACCAGGGTTTCTTAACTAACATTTGGGCTGGATAATTCTTCCTTGCAGGGAGCTGTCCTCTGCATTGTGGGATGCTTAGAAGGACCCCTAAGATCTACCCACTACATGCCAGTAACACACCTCTGCTCTCACAGTGTGACAACTAAAAATGTCTCAGACATTGCCAAATATCCTGTTGGGAGCAAAGTCACCCCTGGTTGAAAACCACTGCCTTAGACTACTCAAATACTCTTAAGATGTATCAGTGTAGTTTATCATTTGTTTCCAAAGAATACTAAGATAAGATATGTGAAACCTTTTTTAGAGGTATCTCACTATGTTGCCCAGGCTGGAGGGCAGTGGCTATTCACAGGTGCAATCATGATGCACTACAGCCTCAAATTTCTGCCTCAAGTGAAACTCCTGTCTCAGCCTCCCAAGTGGATTACAGGCACAAGCCACCACGCATGGCTAGGTCTGTGAATTTTTTACAGAATGAATTCTTCCCTTTCTCAAGACTTGAAAATTTGGCCAGGCATGGTGGCTCACACCTGTAATCCTAGCACTCTGGGAGGCCGACGCAGGAGGATCGCTTGAGCTCAGGAGTTCAAGCAAGAACAGCCTGAGCAAGAAGGAGATCCCATCTCTACTAAAAACAGAAAAAATTAGCGGGGTGTGGTGGTGCACAACTGTAGTCTCATTTACTTGGGAGGCTGAGACAGGAAGATCGCTTGAGCCCAGGAGTTTGAGGTTGCTATGAGCTAGGCTGATGCCATGGCACTCTAGCCCAGGCAACAGAGAGAGACTCTGTCTCAAAAATACATACATACATACATACATACATACCTAAATACTGGAAAATTCAACAAGACAAACTGAAAGACCAAACTCATGAAGTATTTGCTAAAGCAAATAATTTTCAAATAATATATTAAATTATCCATTCTTTGTAAAACTTGTCAACACCATGGAGATCATATCAGCTATCTTATTAAATTAACTTAATATTCCCATTTGTTTATCCTAAAAAGTTTAAGACAAATTTCTCCTGCAAAATTTTTAAAGAACAGAAATAACCAACTCAGATAGTTTGCCTATTTTAGTGGGGAATTAGGGTTATAGACAATATATTATGCAACAACTATAATAGCTCGTAACTTCTAGCTTTATTTATAGGAGCCACAAAAATAAAAGGCAGCAAAACTTTACAGAGGCAGAGCTATGGGCTGATAAAGCTGAGAGACTCCTGACTGGACGTTCGCTGGACACAAATTGTGAAAGAAATGGGTTTATTTGCTCAGGACTATCATATGTTAATGTTGGTCACTGGCAGAATACCATACTAAGAGAAAGCAGGATGAAAGAAAAGTCTCCTTTTCTAGATTTCACCAAAAAAGACAAGGGGAAATGGCATAAAATTATGGCATTTTAATTTCAGTTGTGAAAAAGTTCAAAATCTTCAGGCAACATATTCCTCAATGTCATAGTAAAAACATTTACAATTAGAATTAATATTGGCCCTGGAAAGACCCTTACTTGGTACCCAGTCCAACTTCTAATTTCAAAGATAAAGAAGAATAAGATTTGGTGGTGAAGGAATCTTCAACTGTATCCATACATCTTATCTCTTTAAAAAGAAAATGTCTGAGGTAAATACAGCACAATATTATAACTTACTGAAATTTGAGTAGTAGTTATATGGGAATATTATACTACCCAGTATGACTTAAACTTTTCAGAATTTAAAAATAATTTTCTGTGAAAGTTTAAATTAAGATGAGGAAACTAGTAAGATGCAGAACCATTAACAACCATTAAGATGAAGGCCCAGTAAGGTAATGGCTTGTGCAGCACAGCACACCTTAAGCCTAGAACTCACTGCTTTTTCAGATTTCGGATTTGCTAGTCCAGTGCTTTTTCAAGTTTCAAATAGTATTTGAAAACCATAAGGAATAACTGGAAATAATATTGCCAGTATTCTGAAGAAATACTTGATCTCTGCAGAAGGCACTAGACACTTAATTCCTTAAGTGTTTCTTCCCCTTCTTTTGCATTGTACTTAGTACGGTGGGGGGATGTAAACACAGCATGTGCTCTGGGCTCTACATATTGAAAGAGTCAACCAATCAATAAAAAATATTTGGGGAAAACATGAAAAATAATACAATAAAAATAAAGCAAATAAAAATACAATATACCAACTATTTACACAGCATTTACATTGTATTAGGTGCTATAAGCAATCTAGAGAATCTAGAGTTGACTTAAAGTATACAGGAGGATGTGCATAGGATATATACAAATACTAGGCCATTTTATATAACGCACTTGAGCATCCTCCAATTTTGGTATCCTAAATTGGGTCCTGGAATCAATCCTTCGGGGTATACCAAGGGACCACCATACTGTTCAACAAATCATAGTGCACCAATCAGATGATCAGTAACCTATTATTGATAAAAACAGGCTCCTCTACAATTCAGGGCAACACTCACGGTTTTGTAACAGCATTGCCCAATATAAATATATGATCCACATATGTAATTATAAATTTTAAGAGCCAGGTTTTAAAAAAAGTAAAAAGAAACAGGGGAAATGAATTTTAATATAATTTAGCCCAATATATTCAAATATTATCACTTCAACACACAGTCAACATAAAAAAATATTAATGAAGTATTATATTCTTATTCTCCTTCAGTAGGAAAAATACTCATATTCGAAACTAAGCATTTCATGCTACTAGCACGTTCAATTCCCACTAATCACATTTCAAGTGCTCAATAGCTACAGTGGCTAGTGGCTACCCCATTAGAGACTATTTGTTCCATCCGTTTGAGTAGTTTTTCGGATTTCCCTGGATAGCTGACAAAATTCCCAAATCTTCTGTACAGTGATCAAGTACCCTCAAAGTCCCCAAAGCTCAACAAATAATTCGGGCGAATAAGCTTTTTGAAGCATGTGCAAGCGTATTATTGTCTACCCCTGAATACTTAATCTCTAGGATAAAAACCTTGGCATAAATTTCTGGGCATGCAACCAAACAGGCACCTAATTAATGACGATGCCGGTCGAGGCTTGAATTTTTCTCTGCTGCTCCAAAACAAAAATGAAAGTCGTCTTTGTGTGGATGGAAAAGTAAACCACTAAGGGAAGAAATCACTTTCTCAGGAGCTGAAAGCATCAGGACTAAGAAACCCTACGGACACGCCTTTCTTAAAGATCTCCTACCTATCCTCTCCAAACCCGGCAACCTTAAAGAGAAGGAACCCAGTTCCTGCTTGCTAAAAAATGATACAGAAGATAACTGGAAAATTCAATTTCCTTTTTCCTTGCTGCCACATTAGTTGAGCGTATATAACCAGGCAACCATGCCCACTCCACGCAGTACCGAAGCAGAAAAGGCTTTTTTGTTTAATGCTGTGGAGCCCAAGGGGCCATGCTGAGTGCAGCGGTAAGACTCCCAGAGATGGGCAGAGCAAGGGGTTCGGCCTCAGGGACTCGAAAGGTGCGAACTTAGCGCGGGCGTGATCCCGCCACACCTCCCCATCCCGGGAGGGGACCTCGGCAGCCCGGGGGCTCGCGGGGGGCCGGGGCGGGCACAGGCCTCCAGCACCTCGCTCCTGTCGCACCGCGAGGGGGTCCCGCAGGGCGCCTGCCCGGAGGCGGAGTCTCGGGCGGCAGACTGAGCAGGGCCAGGGCAGGAGCCCGGCGGGAGGAGTCCGCGGCGTGGGCCCTCAGCGCCCGCAGCCCGCCGGCCGCGCCCCTCTCGCTTACCGCCCCAGATCCCCAGCTTCAGCTGGGACTTGTTCAGGTTCTCCACATAGTCCCCCAGGAAGCGGTTCAGCAAGTCCGCGACCACCGACTCCAGCACCATGGTGGGACTCAAGTGGCGGGAGGAGCCGGAACCGCCTGGCGCAGCTGAGGGCGGCGACCCGCGCCGCGAATGACAGCCCCTCCGGCGCCGACCCGCCCCCGCGCCGCGCGCGTGACCCCGCCAGTGCGCAGGCGCGCCGCCACCCGGGCCCGGGAGGCGCGTGGGCCGGCGCGACTCGGCGTCCTAGTGGCCGCTGTGGTCGCGGCCACCGGGGGTAGGCGGAACAACAGGCGAGCAGCCGGTTTGGGGCCTACCTCGGCAACCGGGCTTTAGCGGCCTGCACGGGAAGAAAAGGACATTCGAAAGCAGGAGTTACTGAGCACAGGGACATGTACTTGGCCGCTCTGCTTCCCAGCCGTCGCCTGCTGTGGACCTCAGTCCCGCAGAGCTTACCGTCCGGACGAAAGCCGCCGCGGCCCCTTGCCCGGACCCCGCGTCCGAGCTGAGCGTCTGCTAAGGGACCAGCCATTCACTGTGGATCAGGAGGGGGAAGGGAGACTGCATTCTTGTCCTGCAAGAGTTCGACTCCTCCTGGGCAAGTTCTCCTTTGCCTTTTGCTGCTTGAAAACACACTAATTTAAGTGGAGGAAGGGAACAGAGCCACATCAAAATGGCAGATAGAATGAGAACTGAATGTGCATTTTGTTGGAAACTCGCCCTTTTGCTCCTTCCTCTAAGATTCGCTCTTAGTTAATTCACATGCCACTAATTAGTTACCTACCCCATTGCGAAAATAAACAAACATAGTAATTCCTTTTTTTTCCTAAGTATAAGTAACCCGTTACTTACATACCATTTTCTTCCATGCTAAATCATTAAATTGTCTCTGATGCTTTCAAACTGGGTGAAGTTTAAGCACCCAATGAAATGCGCTTGTTTAGAGAACTGGAAATTTTTTTTCTAAAATATATTTCAAAAGGCTGTTGAGGTAGAGGAAATAGAAAGAAACCTAAGAAATGTTCAGATTATTTGTCGTCACAAGCATTTATTAAATGCTTTGCCAGAAAGTAATCTCTAAGAGACTGTGTGTATTGTTTTTAAATCACCTAGGGTTGTGCAGGATCACCGAAAAGAAAAAAAAATCATGTCTTAAATTCAAAATCTATAGAAGAGAAAAAAAGTCAAAATGGCTACAACTAGTGTTATGTAAAATTGAAGCTACAAAGTAAGAAGCAGTACTAACTATACTATCAATATCCACGTTCATCTTCCACTCTTGCACACAGAAAATAAATCCTTTATCATTTGTTTTTCCTAGCTGGTCACAGACAAAATACCTATGAGGAACTTTAGACTTCTTCACCATCCACAGCCAAACCTGTCTATTCTGCTTTTGCCATATTTCCTAAATTCTCCTTGTATCTTCTTCCCTGGACCATGCAATCACCTCGCAACTGGCCTCCTAGCCCCCAGTTTTTCTTCTTCCAATCTATTCTTCACACTGTCACCAGAGTTAATTTCCTAAACACAGATGAGCTTAGGTTCATCACCTGCTCAAAAACATCCAGTAACCTCCCAGAGTTTACAAGGCCCTCTTCAATCTATCCCCAAGTTCTTTCTGGTCATTCCGCCTACCAATCCCTTTCCCCTTGTATGCTCACACTGAGGCAAACATAAAGAAATATGTTCTGGTTGAGATAAGGCACGCACCACAAAAAGTTAAGAAACAAACTGCTGCAAGGATGTATCATTAACAGTGCAAGACAATTTGAAAGACAGCAAGGACAGTATGGCACCATCAAGCCACTGGAACTGAAGGTACAATCTTTTGGGAGAAGTGAGCAATATTAATGCCTTGTATAATATAGTTAATTCCTTACAGTTCTATGGTACTTTACAATTTTGAAAGAATGTATAAATGTGCTTTTGTATGCATCATTCCATTTTATTAATATTATGTTTCAGTTATCATGAGCTATCATGTCATTATTATGCCAAGGTAGTATTTTCATGTAATCCTCACAAAAGATCTGGGAGGTAAGTAATGCTGGTAGTAGTACTGTCCCCATTTTATAGAGAAATTAAGCTCAAGAATGTTCAGTGACTTGCCCAAAATCACACAGCAGGTATTAATTTCCTTTGCTTCCCTGCGCACTCTATACTCTACTTGTGTTGAATGTGATGGATGTCAGAACACCAGTATTTTACTGGTCTTAAACTCTATTCTTGCTTTCCTTGACATCCAGCCTCCTGTATAATACTTTTGTATTCAGCTTCAAAGTGCTCAGTTTCCTTTTACTCTGAGAGCACCTCTGGCCTCGATGGTGTGTGATCTACTCATACTCACTTCACAGAATCGTTTTCCAGATCCATTATTGGATGTTCCCATGGCTACATCTGTGAGCTGGAAATGAGCAGCCTTCCTCGGAGCAGATTTGTGTGTTCCTGACCCTGTTACACCATCCTCCCGAGTACTGGGTTGCTTATGCTTCCAAGTTAAGTAAAACATAAGGCTTAATGTGGTTACAGGGGACCGACCACGCAAGGGACCAACCACGCAAGGGCACGTTTCTGCTGTTTTCAAAAAATCATATACAGGAAATGCTATTAAGGTGTTACTGAATTGGGTGAATTGTTAATAGAAACAAAGCACATCTGCTTCATTTGGCTGAGTAAAGAAATGTTTTTAAAGGAAGCCATGTGTGAATCAGCTAATCCTTAGCTAAACATTCACAATAATAATAATAATGGTAATATAATAATAACAGCTGTTAGCCAACGCTTAACTGCCTGCCAAGCATTTTTCAGGCACATCTTTTCAACCCTCACAAGAATCTTATGTGATAGATATTATCACCTCCATTTTATAACTTGGGCTCAAACAGGTTAATTAACTTGCTTAACAACTTCTTAGCCAACTTAGACTATGAGCTCTGAACTATGCTCCTCATTATTTTAACCAAGGGCAACCTGGGCTATCACAGAGCTAATAGGATCTCATCTCTTAAAAATGTTTAGTCAGAACACATGCACATGGCCCTCAAGTATAGCTCTCAGTTGTAAAGCTGCATGCATGCAAGTGCCAATTGTTGTGATATGCATTTTTACATTTTGCTTTTTCACCTATTTATGAATATGGTTCATCTGATTCTTAACTGATGTTATACCCATATGACTGTCATTAGTATACTTGAGTGTTTATGCTTGCAAAAATATGTATGTTGTTATATCCTATTTTATTGTGCAAAGTGGCCTATGAAATATTCTGTTGTATTTTTATGTTTCTCAAATAAATCCCCTTTTAAAAATGTAAAAAAAAAAAAAAAAGTATACAATTTGGTAATCATTCTCACATAGATTTAGGCCTGGCCCAAGAATTTTGGCCAGGAGTGGAGGTGATATCAAGACAAAGGAGTAGCTAGTCAAGAGCATGGTAAACCCAGAAACCCACCAATCCTGCCTCCTAAATAGGTAAATAACGTTCAATAGTCTCTTCCTGCTCCTTCTTCTCCCAGATCGAATTCAAATATTTCATCGTCATCATTTCATTCCTCTTCTGATGAATTTACATAGCCAACATGATCTTGTACAGCCTGGATACACCTGCCTATCATGGTGGCTGCAACCTAGGAAACATTCAGTAAATATTGCTTTGAATTAATTAATTAATGAGCATTTGCTCTCTTCTCTAATGATAATAAATATAATATCTAACATTGTGCATGTCAGGCTCTGTGCTGAACTCTTCATATGCATTATCGTGTTTTATACTCATGACAACCCTAAAGGTAGATACTATTATCAATTTTATGAGGCTTAGAAAGGTTAAGTAATTTGCTCAAGGTCACATAGTGAGCTACCATTCTGGAATCAAAAATAGATCAGACCCAATTTTCTTAACAACCTCCCTTCTATCTTGATTAATAATTACTATTATTATTAACCATCTCTATGTATTTAGCACTCACCATGTTCCAGGTACTGTGCAAAATATTTTAAACTATTAATTCAATTCCCCAAACAACTCATTGTATACCCATTAATAGGTATTATTTCTTCCATCTCCCATAAGGATAAGATACTTGACCTCTGAAACTCAGTTTTTCATCTGTAAAATAGGAATGATCAGAATTTGCAGGGTTTCTATAACAATTCTGGAAACTATATGTAAATCATCTAGCACAGTGTCTGTGTGTCCTGGAAACAAAATGCACATGCTCTATTCCGAAATCACCTTTTCATGAATCCAATTTAATTCATTAAACCTTATTTAATGAATAGATTAGTTTGCAAGGCAGTATCCTAGGCAAAAATCATACACCCAAACCATGAACAAAATGCCTGAGATCTCTTTCAGCCTAAGCTACGCTGGAAGTAGCTCTCTTACAGAATGAACACAGTTTAATTTTCAAAAGGAAAGAAAAGGATCTCTCGGATGGGCACATCCTAGAAAAGCTGGATGTAGTCAGGGTGCCTCCAAAGGATGATTCCAACAGCCCAGACACATGCAAGGGTATATGTTGACAGTCAAAATATCAGCACACATGGCTTAAGAAGTAGGTTGTGGTTTTTAAATTGAGATATAACATACAATAAAGTGCCCTAATCTTAAGCATAGTACACTAGGTGATTTTTTTTTTAATAAATGGATCCGCCCCTGTAATGCCACCCAAATCCAGGTATGGAACATTTCCAGCACCTCATAAGGTTTCCCCTAACCTAGAGTGGTTCATAATCAGTAAAGAACATCTAAAATCAGAACTGAAAATCAGAAAGCAAGTAAAGCACTTCGAAAGGTGTGCAACAGGAGGCCGGATTTCGGGAAGGGTATTAGGTAAGAATAAGACAAACCCGACTTGTGTCTTCATTTTAATTGTGGATGTAGCATGCTTCTATGCATTCATATTATGTCCGTCGATCCTCACAATGCCTGCGATACAGTCAAAACTTAACCCTCTTTTGCACAAGAGGAAACAAACTTGTTCAGAGTTTCCAAGGGGAATACCTCCACCTGAAGCAGGAAAGAGGAAAAAAACTGGGTCTTCCGAATTTGCTCCGCAGATCTAGCCACGTGGCAGAGGGAAAGGGGAGGGCCGGGCATCAGGTTACCAGGCAGCGCCGCTCCGGGCAGTGGGTATAAAGGCTCACACCAGCTGTCCTCGAGCACCGGTGCTGAACCCCGCCGCGCGCGCTTTGAATTTCCCGGAGGCTACGCGCCTCTCCGGGTCAGTGCTCCAGGCAGAACAGTGCGGAGACCCGTCTGACAGCGGACATCAGGTACCTCAGGAGGGACCCACCGGCTTGCTTAATTCCCTGGGGGGTTCGTCTCAGGTACTTTGCCTCTGAAAGGGGAAAACAAGCCACGGTTTCCTGGAGGGGATAATCATTACTTTTTAAATTCTCGCTGAGAACTAGAACGCAAGTCTTAGGATTCAGGAAACGACTGCACAAAGAGCTTCTTAGCACCGAGGATAGTGCGACCAAAATTAGAAACCAACATTTTGAGAATCTCTGCCTTAGGCAGGCGAGGGCGGATGGAAACTAAAGCAACAAATTCCAAAGTGTACGTGACAACGGAATTGAGACAGGACAGGAGAAAAACAATTGTTTTTAAATCACTGAAAAATAGTTTGCAATAGGGGCGTGAAGTGTCTTTTGCCTTCCCCCAAGGGAGACAGGAGGAAACACCCCGAAAGTAGAAGAAAAGGGACAGGAGTTATCGCACCCTGCGGGGCTCGCTCTGACGATCGGCCTGTGTTTGTACGTTGCAGGCAGACAGGATCCAGCAGAGGGGGTCGCCCCGATCCCGCACCTGTCGCGGGATGTGGTGCCTGGAGAAGCTCTGCTTGGGTCGTGAGCGCCTCCGCCCGGGCGGGGATTGGCTTCTCCTGGGTCGAGCCCGCGGAGCGAGGGTCCGCACCACCGCCGCGTGCGCAAACGTGCTCACACCGGACCGCATACCCGAGTTCTGCATCCCACCGCGACTCGTGCCCAGCCTGACCTTGGCTGCGCTCCGGAATTCTTGGGGAGAAAAGGCAGAGACGGACGAGGGCGCTGGCCCCACCGACTGGGACCCGCGCTCGCAGGCGGCGCTCTCGCTGCCGCACCTGCCCCGCGCGCGCACTGCCTACGGCTTCTGCGCGCTGCTAGAGAGCCCGCACACGCGCCGCAAGGAGTCGCTCTTCCTCGGGGACCCCGGCGCCGCCGCGCTCCTCCGCCCCCGGGCCCACACCTACGGCGGCGGTGGCGGCCGAGACGCCCCCCTCAGGACACTGTGCCTAGATTCTGCCGTCGCCCCTAAGGGCCCCGGCGGTTCTCGTCCGCCCCGGGACGCACTTGCCCTATGGGCCTGCGGCCGCCGCCTCCTGCGCGCCCCCGACGGGCTTCTGAGCCGCGCGCTGCGCGCACGGAGGAGTCGCGGTCTGGCCCGCGCCCGCTCAGTCTCCAGCGGGGACGAGGACGAGGAGCGCGGGGACGAGGACGAGGAGCGCGGCGCCGGCCCGGAGTCCCCCTCCCGAGCCCCCTCCGAGCGCCCGCCGTCGCTCCCCGGCCCGCGGCCCGAGCGCCTGGAGGCCGAGGGCACCGTGGCTCTGGGCCGCGCGGGCGGCGTGCTGCGCCTGGCCGCCGAGTATTGTCCGGCCAGCGGGCGCCTCCGCATCCGGCTGCTCCGCGTCGAGGGTCTGGCCGGAGGCGCCTCGGAGCCCCGCGCCGTCGGCTGCCGCATCAGCCTGGTCTTGCAGCCGCCCCGCACGACGCGCAAGCAGCGCGGCTCTGTGCTGCGGCCGAGCCGCAAGGCCGCGCTCGACCAGGACTTCTGCTTCGACGGGCTCACGGAGGACGAGGTGCGCCGCCTGGCCGTGCGCGTCAAGGCCGAGAACAAGGGCCGCGGCCTGGAGCGGGGCCGCCTGCTGGGCCAGGGCGAGCTGCCGCTGGGCGCCCTCCTGCTCGTCTGAGGCCCGGCCCTGCCTCGGGGCGCTTTCTGCCTGCTGGGGGACTCTGGACTCTGACAGCTGCTTTGTACAAAATAAACGTGCATTTTTTTTTTCTAATCAGGCCTTTGTTTCAGAGATGGACTTTGTTGGGAGAGATGATACTGGATTAACTATCACAGTAAAAGATGGGATATTTTGCGTAGATACTGTCAAAATTATTTCAGCAAATGGAACGGTGTTTTGCAGCGTTTCCTAATGTAGATAGTCAATTTGCATATACGTACCGCACACTTCTGTTGGGAAATAATGAATTACATGAAGTGTTAGAACTAGGAGGTGGCTTGGCCATCTATTTGCTCCAATATCCTCCTTTAAAGTTTGTTCATTCCACAGCATCCTTTGAGACCATTTTAGAGCACGTATTACTTTTAAAGCATTAAGACCCTGGATTAAAAAAATGAGGCCAAGAGAGGTGACGTGACTTGTCTAAGGTCAACAGCGAATTATTAGTAGGTAGTAGGACTCCAACCTGGTTCCCTTGGCTACATCTTGCTGGAAAAGCACTGGAGAAAATAAAACCATTTTAATGTTCTAAGTTTAAATAATAATCATAATAGTTTTACAAATTTTAACGTGTCTACTTCTTAAGACAACCCTAAAAAGTAGGCACTGCTATCCCCATTTTATAGATGAGAATATTGAGGCACAGAATGAAGAGCCGAGTTGGGATTTGAACCCAGGCGAGCAGTATATCACTTATTACTCATATAAGTACAGGCCGAGCGCGGTGCCTCACGCCTGTAATCCTAGCTCTCTGGGAGGCCGAGGTGGGCGGATTGTTTGAGCTCAGGAGTTCGAAACCAGCCTGAGCAAGAGCGAGACCCCGTCTCTACTAAAAATAGAAAGAAATTAATTGGACAACTAAAAATATATAGAAAAAATTAGCCAGGCATGGTGGTGCATGCCTGTAGTCTCAGCTACTTGGGAGGCTGAGGCAGGAGAATTGCTTGAGCCCAGGAGTTTGAGGTTGCTGTGAGCTAGGCTGATGCCACGGCACTCTAGCCCGGACAACACAGTGAGACTCTGTCTTAGAAAAAAAAAAAAAGTAATAACACAATGTCTAAAGGGCTCATCTTATTAAAGTTGTGAGATTTTGCAACTTTCCTCCGAAATTGTTGACTCTGAGGTTGGTGTTTTCTCACATTCCTCACTCTCTGGTGGAAAAGCAATAGGTTGAAATGAGTAATTTATTACCTCATGATAATAACATCAGGCATTGAGATGAGCTGGTGGGTCTGACTGTGAGGAGGAAGCTAACTGTCCTCAGACTCATAGCAACAGGGATGCCAGCCCTATTGGCACCAGGTGAGTTAATCTGCAAGAACAGGCAATCTAGGGTGTACATAGAACATTGTTCTACCTCTGGCTTCTGATAACAGTAATAGATCTAATATTCCTATGATTTAACAAATGACTTTACTTCATTCCTCCCATTCACTGGCAGCCAGGCATATTTCTTCCTTTATTATACATATAGGAGGAAAACGTGTCCTACATGAGGGCTGGAAAAGTTGAAAATATTTAAATATGTGGCACATTATCAGTCTGGATTCAGAAATGGTTTCTGCTTCCACTACACTTGTTGACAGTTTTATCCATTGGTGCTCTTGAAAAATGGTATTTAGAAAAGAGTTCCAGTTTCAGTCACAAATCAGGCATAAACTGAATATGGATTATTGTGATGGGTATTTACAAAGATGACCATTGAACAATTGCGAAGAATACTATGAATTCTTTGACTCTGTCAAAGGGAAGGACATCCAGAAGCTTGCAGGGGTTGACCAAATGAATGATGACGTGCAGTAGTTCAGATCTAACATGTACTTTTCTATGTACTCAGTCACTATTCCCTTGGCCCTCAAGCCAACATTTTTTTTTAGATGTATAACTCACTTGGTGATTTTAGAATTTTGGTAGGGTAACTACTACTGACTTCCCAAATGTAGTACTTTAAAAGGAAAATAAATGGAGAGAGAAAATAACTTGGCTATGTATAACATCATTGTGCATTTTTATTTTTCTGTTTTTTAAAAAACAAAACAGATTGTGCTGATAATTTTGACAGCAAGGCTTTATTCCAGAAAATGTTGCAATCACTATTGTCACTAGATTATATACATGTCGTTTTATTAAGTAGATTTTTCCAAGAAAGTAAATCAACACATTTCAGAGACCTAAATTTTCCGTGAAATAATGGTGGTTATTTCCAAACAGAATCTCCATTAATGAATGCCGAGATATGGTTGATCGAATAATCTAAGAGCCTAATCAAAAAGATTTTAAAAGGACTGAAATAGATTCACAAATCATAAAATCATGGAATTTCAGAATTGAACTTTAAGAATCATTTTGTGCAAATCTATATATCATAGATGTGGACCAGAGAAGCAAATTTTAGATTGCCCCAAATCACACTGTTAGTAAAACAGCTGGAACTAGAACGAATTCTATTCTCATTTTGCTCTTCAATCTAATGATTCTTTTCACCACTATTTCCAGGAAAGTAGAAATATTTGTACATAAATTATTTTTACATCATTGACCTAATTTGAATTTTTTGCATTTAAGAAATCTTATTTGCAATACAAATCTTTTCAATATCAGCGTTTCTGGGGCAAATTTAAATTTTGTATACACTTTGCTGCCCTCTAGTGGATCTCTCAAATGTTTTGCCTGTGGCTCTACGTCCTTAGTATTAGACCATCTCAACTAAATAAAGACCAATCTAATGCCCAAACCTTATGTTCTTGGAGATGTTTGCTAATATTAGACTGTGGTGAATATTCAAATCTCAAAAAACTAAATACATCTATCCAAGAGAATAAGGTGCAAAAATCTTTTAGATTAAACAAAAAAGAGGAGAAAAATTTTTCCCAGTAATAACAAAGTTGGGAGTCTGTGGCGATGGCATGTTGTTTGCAGAAAACTGCTTTGAGTGCTCATGTTTCTCATCAGGCTTTAGGTACCCCATCTTCTCCACAAATTATATGACCTGATCTTTCCTCTTTGTGGTTTAAACATCTGAACATACTCAAAGAAAAACCCTACACGACAAACAGGGAATATGCCAGTATAAATGGCATTAGGTAAGTAAAAATTTAGAAATCACTTCATTGTCACTTGGTTTTACAAAGATAAGGCATTCTACACCTAAAACATTAGCTTCAATATGGCCCAAACATGCCTAGAGGATCATATCTTTGAATTTAATTTTTTAATACACACTTCAGCAATTCACAAACGTTCTCCCTATATCCATTCCTAGGACTTAGGTCTAAATACTATTTTTGGTTAAAGACATTTGAAAGACAAGGCAAAAAGTGGGGACTATGTGATCTGTATCATATTAAAGCAAGAAAAACATGTAAGTGGATAAGAAGGCATTCAACGGATTAGTTTAGAACATCTATTAATGGGATTAATGCTGTTCAGGATTCTAGATTTATAGCTGTATATGAGACACAAAAAATCCCTGCTCTCTGGAATTAAATTTGCAAAGTCAGGGGAGGATATAGACAATAAAAGATTTGAGGGGGCACCTTAGATTGGGAAGTTAAGAAAGGCCTGTGTGAAGACCTGACATGAACCTCTTCTCTATGTGTCACTTAACTTTGCTATTGTATTTCAATCCCATGTGCTGATCTAAGTACTCCTGGCCTCACAGGGTCACCTGATAAGTGCTTTCCTTGGAAAGCTGCTAGTATCTTATTGCTATGGGGAAATACCCCCTGGTGTGGGGCTCAGCCCTGGTGTGTAAGAAGCTATTCTGACTCCAGACTTGTGAGTTCAACAAATGAAATAGACCTGAGGCAGCCCATTGTGTTTACAAACTCAGTGTTTACTACTCTGTACATGTGCATGGCAAAATCTCATTAGCTAAGAATTTTATCATGGGCCTATCATGGCTATTGCATTAATTTGAGAGGATGCCAAACTCTGCTCAGATTAGGCCTTCTGGGACATTAGGATGAGGGGACAAATATAGCAATATAATTTTTCTTTTTTTTAACATTTTATGGTTTTCACAGCAAACTTTTATCCTTCATTCCCTTAAAACTTCTCAACCACTGTTTGGGATAGTTACTCTCCTTGTACCTGGTATTGGTGCTGCAGGTTGGCTCCTTCAATACCCAATCCAAGCAGTCAACACCCAAAAAGTCAGCTGATGGTGACTCCTCACCAGCCTCCCTTTTCCTGTTGGAATATGCAAATAGCCTTGACTTTGGACTTTAGACTTCTGAGTTGATGCTGGAACAAGTTAAGATTTGGGGGGGGCTATTGGGATGAATGAATGTATTTTGTATGTGAGAGGATTTGAATTTTCAGAGACCAGGGATGGAATAAAATAGACCGAATGTATATGTCCCCCCAAAATTCATGTTGGAATCCTAACCCAAAGGTCATAGTATTAGGAGGTGGTACCTTTGGGAGATAATTAGGCAGAGCTCTCATGAATGGGATAAATGCCCTTATAAAAAATACCCCAGAGGGATCCCTCACCCCTTCTCACATGTGAGGTTACGCAGAGAAGACCACCATCTGTGAGGAAGTGGGCCCTCACTGGACACCGAATCTGCCAGCACCTTGATCTTGGACTCCCCAGCCTCCACAATTGTGAGAAATAAATTTCTCTTGTTTATGAGCCGCCCAGTCTATGGTATTTTGTTATAGCAGCCCAAATGGACTAGGACAGGGAGCAAATAGTGACATGATTTTTTTCATTTTATGGTTTTCATAGCAAATATTTATCCTTTATGCCCTTAAAGTTTCTCTACCACTGTTTAGGGTGGTTAGTCTCATAGTACCTGTGGTAGATGCTGTAGGTTGGCTCCTTCAACACCCAGTCCAACCCCTTACTGCTTTCTGTTCTGTGCTATAGAAGCTAGAAAACAAAAACTTACCTTTCCAAACCATTTTGCGGCTTTAGATAGCTATGCGACTCAGCTATGGCCAATGAGACACAAGAAGTCAGTTGATAATGCCTCCTCCTCCTCCTCCTCGTTCCTGCTGGAATACAGAAGGAAA